TAGAGCAAGACAATGAGCACACCACGATCAGAATGCCGCACGAAAAAACTTGTGTCATGCTCGTTTCTCCCAAAGCCATAATCGCAGAGAAAGCCAGAGAGGCGCTCGTACCAAGCTCTAGGGGCTTGTTTAAGGCCATATAAGGACTTGTGTAACTTACACACAAAGTGAGGATGTGCCTGATCAATATACCCAGGAGGCTGCTTCATATAAATTTCATCGGGAACCACACCATGAAGGAAGGCATTAGAAACATCCAGCTGATGTAATGGCCAGTCATGATTCACTGCAAGAGACAAAATTAAGCGGATAGTTTGTTGCTTGACCACAGGGTTGAATGTCTCAGAATAGTCAACCCATATTCTTGGGTATACCCCTTGGCCACGAGTCTTGCTTTATATCTGGAAACAGAGCCATCAGAGTTACGTTTAATTTTATAAATCCACTTACAACCAATAGGAACACGATCTGTAGGACATGGAACAAGAGTCCACGTGTGTTGATTCATCAAGGCAGAGTATTCTTCATCCATAGCTTGACACCAATAACTGTTTTGGGAGGCCTCCTTATATGTACCAGGCTCAGTGCCAGGTGGGTGTGAGGGAGAAAGAGTGGAGTAGAGTTTTGGTTTGAAAATACCACTTCGGGAACGAGTTTGCATTGGGTGACGGATCGGTGGTGGGGGTGGGGTTGGGATTGAGGACGATTCGGGACTGGAGGACGGAGTAAATGGAATGTTTTGAGATTGGGGCTGGGGGGTTAGAGGTATAGTGGAAGGGATATTTTAAGTTTGGGTGGGAGTGTGGGTGTTGCGGTTTGGGTTGAAATGGGTGTTTTGAGTGGGCTGGTGTGCGGTAGGGGGCTGCGGGACGCGGGTGGGTTGCTGGGCAAGGGTGGGAGGTGGTGGGTTACGGGTGGGGTTAGGTAAGAGAGGTGCAGCGGGAGCCCTGTGAGCAAGCGTATCCCCTTCGAACGTACCGACCGAAAAAATAGGAAGAACACCAAGGAACGACGAACTACATGGCGACGACAGTGACACAAACGATGTATATGGGAATTGGGTTTCATGAAACTCTACGTGACGGGAGACATAGACACGACCGGTCTTGAGATCATAACACCGGTATCCCTTAGACAAGGTGTCATAACCCAAGAAGATGCATGGAGTGGACCTGGGTTGTAACTTATGATCAATGAGGTGACGTAGACAGGGATAAACTAAACATCCAAAAACACGAAGGAGATTATAATCTAGAGGAGAGTGATAGAGGGCTTCATGGGGTGACTTATTTTTAAGAGAACGCTTTGGCATCCGATTGATTAAAAAATTTGCAGTTGCCAAAGCCTCAACCCAGAACTTTGCTGGAAGGGACGCCGTACAAAGAAGAGTGACAAGAGTTTCGACCAAGTGGCGATGTTTACGTTCAGCCACACCGTTTTGTTCGGGAGTGTAGGGACATGATTTTTGATGGAGTATACCCAGCCCTTGTAAAAATAGTGCAAATTTTGTGTTGACATATTCACGCCCATTATTTGTACGAAAAATTTTAATGGAAGTACGAAACTGGTTTTGAACCATAGATTGAAAACTGAGAAAAGCACCATAAGCATCAGACTTTTGTTTTAAAGGGTACAACCAGCAATATTTCGTAAAGTCATCAATAAAATTAATGTAGAAACGATATCCCCCAAAGGAGGGTACAGAGGTGGGTCCCCATACATCCGAATGAACTAAGTCAAACGGTGCAGAGGCCTTGGTTTCAGACACAGGGAAGGGAATTTTATGGGACTTAGCTAAAGAACACGCATTACAATGATCAATGTTTTGAAACTTGAAACCCAAACTGGAGAGTAAAGACTTGGTAACTTGAACAGAAGGATGGCCAAGACGACAATGCCACTGCTCGGGAGTGACCTTTACCGCATTGATCATCACAGACGAACTGGAGACAGGAAGGGAGTACAAGCCGCGCTCACAGGGGCCCTGGTAGAGTACCTTGTTGGTGGAATTGTCCCGAATCGTAAAGCCCTTAGAGGTAAAAAGAAGAGAGCAATTATTATCTTTAGTAAACTGGTGAACAGAAAGAAGGTGAGAATTAATAGCAGGGGCATGTAAGAGGTGGGGTAAGTGAAATTGGTGATGTGGGGTGGGTAAACTACCTGAGCCTGTGTGTTCGATAGGAAAGGTATTACCTCCCGCAGCAGTAATGGAATTAGTGCCATGATACGGAGTAGAGTACTGAAGCCGTGAGAGATCAGAGGTCACGTGGGCATTTGCGCCAGTGTCCAGATGCCAGTTCTGACTTGGTTCAACAGATTGATTCACATGATAAGCCTGTGGTGGTCCTGAATATGATTCATCAAAGCGATGCCAGCAATTCCAAACCGTATGGCCAGACTTGCCACACAACTGACAGATGACCCGATCAC